TCGGTCATCGATAGTAACTAAATTTTTCGATCATCGATTTCGGTTACTATTTGACATTTTTCTAGTAGTATTTGTATCACTTCATTATGGATAATAAAGTTATCACTCCATCTCAAATTGGTGAGGTAGATTGATAGTTTTAGTGTGTCACTTTTCTTGGATTACCTTCTCTAGATTATCAACTCAGTAAGCCTACGATAAAACATGATAGGCTAACTTATTGACCCACTTTTAAAATATACTTATGAATAAAAAAAATAAAGAAGATTACAATTAAAATATTTTACATTTTTGTGTGTTATATGATTGGAATATGTAACTATATTATAGTATTATAATTTAAATTATAAATACTAATCAAGTAAGCGTTTATTGTAATTAAGAATTTTAATACATAAATATAATAATTTTCTTAATTTATCTAATAATAATATCAATTAATAAATAAAAACTTTAAAATATTCATATAATTAAATATATATTTTTTTTAAATACATAAAAAAAATTATATAAAAAGATATTGATAAGATAATCCTTCCACAACCCACTCTCTAATAGAACGAATGGACACTTATAACCCATTATAGGTATATATATATATATTTAGAATTATTTACATCTACAGTGTCTATTCATTATATATATCCTTCAAGATATATGGACATTAAGTATTGGAGAAATATTAGTGTTGTGAATATTATTATTTATAAACACTTTATTAAAGTGTTAAATTTTTTTTTTGTTAAAAAATAATAATAATTTTGAATTTTTTTGAAAAGTATAAAATTTTAATATATATTAATTTAAAAACACTAATATAAAAATATAAAAAATAATAAAATAATAAAAAAGTGAGAAAGAGGAAGTCTTTTCCTCTCACCATCCCGTAAGTGATTAAATCCATTTTCATGTCTCCTTACTTACCGTCTTGTCAACGACTTGATATAATCATCTCACAATGGTTTTATATTACTCAATGGATAAAAAGAGCTGTCATCAAGGGCGGAATTAAGGAGCCAATGGGCCACGATCCCCTAATTTTTTTTATTATTTTATAAATATAAATAAAAATTATTTTTTTAACTTTTTCTCTCTTAAATTTTTATTTATAATAAATATCATGTTTATTCTCTTATACAATTTTCTACCTACATTTTTACACTCTTTCTTTCTTCTGTTTTCATATTTTTATCTACTTTTACCTTTTCATTTTTCCACTCCAACTTTTTTTATCAAATACTTATTTTATCTTTTCACATCTCTATTTTTTTATCACTCATCCACCTTTATATTTTATCTATTTTAAGGTTTCACCTTCCAACATAAAATTTGTAAAGTTTTTTAGTATTTAAATTTTTCTTTCTTACAATTTCATCCTTATAACATAAAAATTATAAATTTTTTATTCTTTAATTTTTTTTATCTATATGCTTCTTCCTGAAATATTTTTCAGTTTTTTTTTCAAATCTTGGTATTCTTATTTCATTATCAGCTTATCTTTTAAATAAATAGTATATATATATATATATATATATATATATATATATATATATATATTCTAAATTTATTAGTCTAAAACTTAAAAAAAATATCACATTTTAAAAATATACTAATATGGAATATTTGTCAGTGTATTAGTTTGAGACCCTTCAAAATATTTTTTATTATTATCTTTTATAATAAATATAAATATAAAGATAAAATAAAGAGATACAAGAAAAAAAACAAAACTCAATGAACTTTTTACTATTCATGTACGATGAGATTCATCTTTTTTGGTTGAGAATTTTTCATCTTAAAGAGGAGTACAAACAGGGTATATATATAACCCCTATAACAGAAAAGAAAGAATCTGTTATAACTTAAAAATAATACAAAAAGGGAAAAAACATGATTTGTTATAGAAAAACAATTATACTAATACTCCCCCTTAAGTTGGACGGTGAATGTCATAAAAACCCAACTTGGATATAAAATTGTCAAAAGTTGTACGATGAAAATGTTTAGTGAAAGTATCCACATGCTGGTTGGAAGACGAAACAGGAAAAAGATGAATTAGGCCTTGTTGAATTTTCTTATGAACCACATGACAATCGATCTCGATGTGTTTAGTGCGCTCATAAAATACGGGATTACGAGCTAAGTAAATGATAGACTGATTGTCACAATAGACTGCAGTAAAACCCAATGAAACATGAAGATCATGAAAAATATAATGTAACCCTTGAATATCACAAGTGAGGCTGGTTAATGCTCGATATTCTACTTCGGAGGATGAACAAGAGACAGTAGATTGCTTCTTGGATTTCCAAGAAATTAAGAAAGAACCAAGGAAAACACAAAATTTGAGCGACGAGTGTCCAAAATAGCAGGCCCGGTTTGAATAAGTAAAAGAAGAAAGACGAATGTCAGTAGAGGCAGAGAAAAATAACCCTTGGATAAGTGAAACTTTTAAGTATCTAAGAACCCGGATGACAACTTTATAATGAACATCAAGAGGAGGTTTAGTCATGAATTGACTAAGCTGTTGGGCCTAAAAGGTAGTGTGAGATATAATAGTTTACCAACTGTCGCCGCCGTCAAAAGAGGCAGTTGGAGCGACGCAATGGTTTTGGATTGACTCGCGTTTTTTGAAAGAAGTGGTTCAACGCCTTTAGGTTGTCCGATAACCGGGCTAGATCTAAAGGCGAGGTTTTCGAAAAGGTTCAAGGAGTCGCCATTAGTCTTTTAACCTTAAACACTGAAAAAGGTGAAAAAAAAGAAGAAGACAATGGTTTTAGAAAAAAGCCAACTTTGGCCATAACAACCAGGGTAAGTGAGTTAGTCACGTGTGGGGAAGGTGTTAGCACCCCACAACGCCCCTTTCGGGTTCCCTATGATGGACTAGTTTAGAAAATAAATACTTAAAGAAATTATACTTTTACCCTATTATTCTATCTACTTGCATAATTTAAATATCTCCCTGGCCCTATTGTCTAATGCACACAAAGAAAGCGATAAAAAAAGCAATAAAAGAGAGAGAGAATAGGGAAGGAACCTTCGAAGCAAGTTTTATATTAACCCTTAAAAATTTGAGGACGCTTTTTGGCAGTCCTCGCACTCTACAGACATGCTCCTCCCGTAAAAGAAAAGAAAGTCACTCTACTGAGGGCCAGATGTCTCAATAGGAGACTTCCTTAACCGATTTCTACTTTAAATGAAAATCGGAAAGCTCACTCGAACTCCGGAATAATGCTCAGAGTCACTCAAAAGTGCCAAAAGGCTTCCTAGAGAGTGGTAGGAGTGAAAAGGTATGAAATTTCGAGGAATGGGGGCTCCTATTTATAGGGAACCACACCAGGAAAAAGTGGACGGCCGTCCATGGCAAAAAGTGGTCATGGACGGTCGTCCAAGCTAAGTGGACGACCGTCCATAGCCTTAAAGTTGGCATAGACGACCGTCTGGCTGTCCTAGACGGCCATCTACTGTCTCCAGTGGATTTTCCGATTTTTATTGCCTCTAAAAACCCTTCCTATCTTAAATGGAACCTAGAAAAAGCTACTAGGGACTTAACAAAGTCTTGACCATCTTCGAAACGGGTTATCTCTGGCTTTATTGGGGAGTCGGGCAAGATTTGGGGTCTACACCAACTAATCTACGATAAGCAGTAGTATTGAAATATGGTTGTCCATGATTAGTCTGAAGTTTAGTAGAGGGATCAAAAGGAGTGGTAGCAGATTTGGAACCAAGTAAACCACTATTATCAAGAAATTCAAGAGTGTATTACGTTGGTTCATGATATGAATGCCAGACTTGGACCGTGCAATCTCTAATCCTAAAAAATAACGAAGAGCACCAAGATCTTTAATCTTGAATTTTGTATCCAAGACACATTTAACATAATTAATTTCGTTCATATCATCACCAGCTAAGACAATGTCATCCACGTAAACTAATAAAGTTGTAAAAGAAGTTGAAGTTTGTTTGTAGTTAAGAGATAAAAGAGTGGTAGAAAGAATAATGTGTCATTGTCTACTGGCTTGCTTGAGTCCATACAATGACTTGTGAAGTTTGCAAACATGAGAAGATCCCAATGGAAGCAAACTAGGTAGAGGGATCATATAGACTTCCTTATGAAGCTCTCTATGAAGGAAGGCATTATTCACATCAAGCTCTCCATGAAGAACGACTCTTTTATCCCTTATCATCTTATGACTCTCTTCTCTTCTTCTCGCATCATTGTCATATTCTTCTCTCTCGCATATCGATAGTTGTTGGTACTATGTAAATGTTTTATACTTTATGCGTGTAATATATGCATTTTCTTTTTTATCATCTTGAACACCTCATTTTTTTTCTATAAATAATAGTAATAATAATAATTAAAAAGTTCCAAATATATCAAAATTAATTAAAAAAAAAAATCATTTGCCATAACCATCAACATATGCTCTGCCACCACCGAAATTGGGTTCACTAATAGGTAAGAGTTCCTATATAAATTGAATGATGGAAACCTAAAAAAAAAAAAGAAGAAAAGGAGAGAGAACCAAAGCAAAAATATCAATAGAAACACAAACCCAGAATAACAAAGAGTGGGACAAACAACGCCAACACAACACAATATTCTTTAGAAGAAAATCAATTCAAGATAAATCAAGGAAAATTTATAAACAAGTTAACTTCCTCGTCCTTGTAATGTAATATTTGGTAGCATTTGTTTTTCGTGTAATATATTTTGTTCTTTTGTTGGTTTCTTTCTGTTACTCCCTTTAATGTAATATTTGTTGGTGTCTAGTGTTCTTGTAATATTTGTTGTTCTTGTGGCATTCGTTGCTTTTGTATTATTCCCTATTTAAATATTCTAAAGTTAAAAAAAAAAAAAAAACAAAGAATAGACTTACCGACGGCCACCACCATGAGCTCATCGTGTCGCCTTACCCATCTTTGCCCTCATCCCCATTACACACACTTCACCCTATCACCTCCCATTTTAAGCTTTCCCCCTCCACTTATGTGCTTCACTTTCCCTTTTCACCATCGCTTTCACCCCACGCCACAACCATTCCCGCACTGGAACCATTTCTATCCCTTACCTCGCGCTTCACCTTCATTCCGTTGAACTACCACCAAACAAGCCCCCATTTGCCTGATTTTATTTGAGATAAAATTAGGTTTAGTAGTTGGTTAGGTTTATGTTACATTATGTGTTTGAATTTAGTTTTTGGACACAACGAACTTGTGGGAGGCTTTTAGGCTAATGATTCAAGTTGGAATAAAAATAATAGTCTATTTAGTTTTTGGGGTGAAAATAACAAAAATGAATTTGAAATAGTAAAGCAAATATAAAGATTTTTTTTTATTTTTAAGAGTTATAAGGCCTAATATTCTTTTTTTGTTAAACTTAATATAACATGATAAAAACATGTTACAAATAGTAATGAGTCTCAAAGATTATATATTTATTTTTTTATTTTTGTTTAATTTCTAAATAAAAATGACTTAAACTATTCCTTCTCTTTTTAATGTGTTAAATCAACTATAGCTTCTTTCTTTCAAGAGTCTCAATTCAGATATGGGTTTCTTCTTTTTTGGTCAAATCATTACTCAATTCATACGTAATTAAAAATATATATAATTAATCTACAATTTTACAATTTTCTATAATAAAATTATAATATCCATAATAAAATACAGAAAAGATTTTACAATTTTACACCGGATCCTCTTAGTATAAAAAATGGTGAGATTTTGTCCCTTCTATAATATGATCATAATAGAAAAAAAAGGAATCCAATAAAAAAAATAAAATTAAAGGCAACAATTGATGCACATTCATTAGAAGGCTCATTACAATATTAACTTAGAATAAATAAGAATTAATGTTAGTTAGTAAGCTATCACATGATAATTGTTCAATTAGTTGTGTTCAGTTAGTTATCAATGTGACGTATGCCTTATATTATATTAATATTACTGTGCAAGAAAACTTCGTAACGAAGTTTTCCTCATGCACAGTAAATTTTTTTCTTATATATGAATACTGAAGCGGGGGAGGAGGGAAATCAAAAATTTTCCTCTCATCCTTCTTCTTCTATTGTCTAAATTTCAAGCAACGAGACTCTGCTCGTGCAGGATCTGGTGAAACAGGAGAGAACTTGAATTAAGTGGGGAAAGCTTCGGTAGAAATACCATACCAAGTAAGGGGAAGTTTAATTCATTCAATATATGAAATTGAATTGTTGATACTCTGTAAATAAGGAATAGGAGTAAAGATATGAATGATTGGAATGTATGATTTTGAAGAATGTCTGATTTTGAAGAATGTCTGTTGCAGAATTTCTGTTCACCGTTTAAAAGTTTTAGAAATTCTTGAAATTAAGGATGAATTATATAATAAAAGTGTTGTTTTTAACTTAAATTGAACATGTTTATGGTTTAATTTTGATTTGGAACTAATTTGGGTGATTGAAACCGAGAAATTTGAAAACTTGGATTTCGAAAATGGCGAACTGGAAAACCTGCAAAATTCGCTCAAGCGAAAAATACATCGCTTGAGCGAAGACACCTGAAAATTTGGGACTCTCGGGATCCATCTCGCTCAAGCGACTAGTGTACTCGCTTGAGCGACGGATGTTTCTAACAAAGGGGACTCCCGGGTCAAGTCTCGCTCAAGCGACTAGTGTACTCGCTTGAGCGACGGATGTTTCAAACAAAGGGGACTCCCGGGTCAAGTCTCGCTCAAGCGACTAGTGTACTCGCTTGAGCGACAGATGTTTCAAACAAAGGGGACTCCCGGGTCAAGTCTCGCTCAAGCGACTGGTTTACTCGCTTGAGCGACGGATGTTTCAAACAAAGGGGACTCCCAGGTCAAGTCTCGCTCAAGCGACTAGTGTACTCGCTTGAGCGACGGATGCTTCAAACAAAGGCGACTCTCGGGTCATGTCTCGCTCAAGCGACTGGTGTACTCGCTTGAGCGACAAAGCCTTCAAACAACGGGGATGCTCGGGTTCCATCTCGCTCAAGCGACCGGTGTACTCGCTTGAGCGAGAGAAGGAAGAAGAAAGGGATATGGTGTGGATTTTTAAAAAGATTAAGGGCAAAATAGTAATTTAATGATTTCGAAAATGATTTCGAAAATAGTTCGGAAATGATTTTTAGGAAAATATATATATAAAGAGAGAGAAAGAATGAAAATAGAGTATTGTGACGTGTGTGGGTCAGACTGAGCCTGAGGGCTGATGCCCAGAATCAGTCCTGAGACGTTATATATTGGCTAGACTGAGCCAGAAGGTTGGTGCCAGAATCAGTCAAATACTATTTTTATTGACTCGAATGAGCCGTGAGGACAGGTGGTCCAGAATCCGGCAAATGTGAATAAATTTTGTATGTTTGAATGGTACCCGGGGTGGTACAGAGTACATTAGTGTAATAACTATGTCAGAGGATTCTGAATGAGGTCCCAGACTTCACTGATTGGTCGGGTCAGGTAGACTACGAGATCAGGTGGTGAGAAGTCGATGGGGGGATGACTGGTGGCGCGCTCGGAGGGGTACTCCAGTATGAGTGATGAAGGGCGCCAGTAATCCTACTCTGTGTGGAGGGTGGTCAGAATGGTACTGCGGGTACCGATCACAATGTGCCCACAGATGATAGCCTCTGAGTTCGGGCATAGTTAGGGTATACTTCCGGAAGGTGTCTTAGTGTGTTGATAATTTCGTAATTGATCATAATATGTAATTATTACTTCTATATCTGTTTTGTTATATCGAATGATTTAATACTTACCCCTATTTTTCCATGTGGATGGGACTGCGATGATCACTTTTATGTGGGAGCAGATCAGGAGTTGAGAGATGGTGATGGGACTACTGGACAGCAGGGATAGTTCAGTGGGATAGCTTCGAGGGAGCTACTGTTACATGTATAAGGTATAAATAAATGATGTTAATATATTTTGAAGTTCCGTTAGTGAACTGGAATTTCAATATATGTTACAATTACAGTAATATAATGTAAAATAAATGTTGTTATTTACTTGTTTACTACTTTGCGAAGACATCATTATAGTAGCGATTTCTAGGGTCGTTACAATAGTGGTATCAGAGCGGTAGTATCCTTGTAAATCTGTGGGGATGGGTAGTGAATCTATGATAAGTCCGTTGTGATTATACTCTGATTTTGAGTGCGTGAATGTTTGTTCTGTATTGATGGTTGCATTTGATATAGGATGGCACCGCGACCTCCTACTCCTTCTCCTACTCCACCGAGTGTAGATGCCCTAGCCAGGGCAATGGAAATGTTGGCAGCTGCCATGCAGCAGCAGACTACCAACCCGCAGTGGAGGCCAACTATGGCATCATCCTCTGCTGGATACCACCAATTAGAACAGATGGGGCTGACTGAGTTCATGAGGCATAATCCGCCTCGCTTTGGAGGAGATTTGGGTCCAGATGCAGCAGAGAAGTGGCTACGTGAAGTGGAGAAGATTTTTGAGGCTACCTTATGCCCGGAAGACAGGAAATTGACATTCGGGAAATACTTACTAGTTGATGAGGCTGAGTTCTGGTGGTCAGGGACTCAAAGGATGATGATTGTACGAGGGGAGGTGTGTAATTGGGAAACTTTCCGTGAGAAATTTCTGGAGAAATATTTCCACGACGGTGTTAGATTTCGGAAGGAGGCGAGTTCCCGAGTCCGAGACGGGGTAATATGATGGTGCATGATTACGCCATACGATTTGAGCGCTTATCTCGTTTCTACACAGGTACAACTTCGAACGGTGGCTTTGCGGGAAGTTTGAGGAAGGCTTGAGGGCTGAGATCAAGCTCATGGTGGTTCCTTTCTCTATCGGGAGATTCCCGAGGCTGGTGGAGAAGGCGAAGACAATAGAGAGACTCCGGGAGGGAGGAGTCGGAGTGATGAGGACCCACTCAAGTGGGGTCCCGAGTAGGGGTAGTAGATCGAGAGAGAAGAATGCCTTATTCACGCCCCCAGTCTTCCAGGAGTGGCAGTGTTACCCCAACACCTCGATCATCGGGATCTGTATCCGGGGTAAAATGTTTTCAATGTGGAGGCCCTCATTACAGGAATCAGTGCCCACAGAATGCCTTCACTAATCCTTCCCAGACTTCTCGGGCAGGTCTTTGCTACACTTGCCGGAAGCCGGGACATATGGCTAGAGATTGTCCACGAGAATCCCAATGTTATAGTCTCGAGTTGGGGCATCATTAGCACCCGGGGGAGTGACGCGAAACCCAGAGCTGCAGGACGGGTGTTTGCCTTGTCAGGAGCAGAGGCATCGAGGTCAGAGAATTTAGTGCAAGGTGTGTGTTTTATCTCTAATATACCTCTACGAGTTTTGTTTGATTCAGGAGCTACCCATTCTTTTATTGCTGATAATTGTATGGATAAACTTAAATTACCTATGTGTGACCTACCCTATGAATTGAGGGTATCTACACCAGCAGCTGGACTAGTGGTGTCTTCCTATGTGTGTTTAAGGTGTCCAATTGTCGTAGAAGGACGACAATACAAGGTGAACTTAATCGGTTTACCTTTGAAGGATATAGATGTAATCTTAGGGATGGATTGGTTATCTACCAATCGCATTCTGATTGACTGTGGACAGAAGAGGTTGGTACATCCGGAATTAGGAGATGAACTTATTACATCAGCTCGACAGGTTAAGAAAGAGCTACGAGAGGGATCTCAGTGTTATTTGATTCTGACTCAGATGGATGAAATGAAGGAAAATATCCTGGAAGAGGTACCAGTTGTGAGAGAATTTCCTAATGTGTTTCCAGATGAGATACCAAGGCTACCACCTCAGAGAGAAGTCGAATTTGGGATTGATCTAATTCCTGGTTCGAGCCCAATCTCTATGGCACCATACCGTATGGCTCCAGCGAGAATTGGCTGAATTGAAGAAACAGGTAGAAGATTTGCTTGGAAAAGAAGTTCATTCGCCGAGTGTATCTCCCCGGGGCGCTCTGTATTGCTAGTAAAGAAGAAAGATGGGAGCTCCGGGTTGTGTATTGATTACCAGGCAACTAAACAAGGTGACTATCAAGAACAAGTACCCGTTGCTTGAGGATTGATGATTTATTAGACCGATTACGGGGAGCATCAATCTTTTCTAAGATTGATTTGAGATCTGGATACCATCGAGATCTTGGTTAAAGAAGAGGATGTACGAGAAGACGGCGTTCGAGTCGAGATATGGCCATTATGAATATGTGGTCATGCCGTTTGGAGTAACAAATGCACCTGCAGTATTTATGGACTATATGAACAGGATTTTCCGTCCTTATTTAGATAAGTTTGTTGTTGTTTTTATAGACGACATTCTTATTTATTCTAGAACTCGGGAAGAACACCGGGAACATCCGAGGGCGGTGTTGGTTGTGTTAAGAGAGAAACAATTGTATGCCAAACTTTCAAAATGTGAGTTTTGGTTAGAACAAGTGCGGTTTTTGGGACATGTAATATCGGCGAAAGGATATCCGTAGATCCTACCAAGGTAGATGCGGTGTTAAAATGGGAACCCCTAAGACGGTGACGGAAGTGCGTAGCTTTGTGGGACTTGCAGGGTATTACCGAAAATTTATAGAGGGTTTCTCTAAGATAGCAACTCCTTTGACACGGTTGACCGTAAGGATCAACCTTTTGCTTAGACGAGATAGATGTGAGGAGAGTTTCCAGGAGTTGAAAAGAAGATTGTCTAGTTCCCCGAGTGTTGGTGATCCCGAGATGTGACTCAATCTTTTCAAGTATATTGTGATGCTTCTATTCATGGGTTAGGTTGTGTCTTGATGCAAGATAAAAGGGCGGTGGCATATGCGTCGAGACAACTTAGAATTCATGAGATGAATTATCCCATTCATGACTTAGAACTAGCGGCGAGTGGTGTTTGCTCTCAAGATGTGGAGACATTATCTTTATGGAGTCGGATTTGAAGTTTTTAGTGATCACAAGAGCTCGAAGTATTTATTCGATCGAAAGAGCTAAATATGAGACGAGAGAAGATGGATGGAGTTTACGAAGGATTATGACTTTCGGTTACTTTATCATCCGGGAAAGGCGAATGTGGTGGTCGACGCCTTGAGTAGGAAGGCGGTTCAAATGTCGGCAATGATGATGGATGAATTGAGATTACTTGAGAAGTTCGGGGATCTGCATCTAGATGTAGAGTTTCGTGATACTAGTATTAGTTGTGGTAGCATTACCATTACTAATGATTTTCTCGAGATGATCAAAGATAGACAACAAGGTGATATGACATTGAAAAGTGTTATAAATCGGTTAGGATTCGAGTAGACCATTGACTATAAGATGGGTGAGGATAATATTCGAGATTTAGAGGAAGGATTTGTATTCCTGTTGACCAGGAATTGAAGAGAGCAATACTAGATGAAGGTCATCGGAGTCGTCTAAGTCTACACCCTGGTATGACTAAGATGTATCAAGATCTAAAGAAGGTTTATTGGTGGTGCGGTATGAGGAGAGATATTGCGAGTATGTGGTTGCTTGTTTGACTTGTCGAGAAAGCAAAGGTGGAACACCAAAGGCGGGAGGAATGCTACGATAAATGGAGATACACGAATGGAAGTGGGATAGCATTACCATGGATTTTGTTACCCATTTACCACGAACAATTCGAGGGTACGATTCGATCCGGGTGATAGTGGACAGATTGACGAAGAGTGCACATTTCCTCCCTGTAAATCTAAGGATATCTATGGCTAAGCTGGCACAACTATATATTCGCGAGATTGTTTGATTACATGGGGTACCATCTAGCATTATCTCGGATAGGGATCCTAGATTTACTTCAAGATTACGCGAGACTTTACAAGAGGCATTAGGTACCCGACTTAGGTTGAGTTCGGCCTATCACCCCCGAGACAGATGGACGGTCGGAGAGGACCATCCGAGTCACTAGAAGACTTGTTGAGGTCTTGTGTGTTGGATAATCTAGGAAGTTGGGATGAGATCCTTCCATTAATAGAGTTCACGTATAATAACGGCTATCATGCCGGTATCGGAATGGCACCATATGAGGCTCTTTATGGGAGGAGGTGTCAAACACCTTTATGTTGGTATCGGGATGAGGAGAAAGTGTTGATTGGACCTGAGCTACTCCGGCGGACTACGAGAGAAGGTCCGAGAGGTACAAGAGAAGTTGAGAGCCGCTATGAGTAAACAAAAATCATATGCGGACCAGAGGAGGAGACCTTTGGAATTTGAGGGGGGAGACCATGTATTTTTGAGAATCGAGACCTACTATTGGAGTAGGAAGGGCAATTAAATCTAAGAAGTTGACTCCCAAGTTTATTGGCCCATATCAGATTTTGAAGAAGGTAGGTCCGAGTGGCATATCGGTTAGCGTTGCCACCTCATTTGGCGAATCCGCACAATGTATTTCATGTATCTCGGTTGAGGAAATATGTACATGACCCCGAGTCATGTCCTGGAGTCGAACAATGTGCAGATTAGAGACAATCTCTCCAGTTGATGTGAGACCGGTGAGGATAGAGGATTCTCGGTTGAAGCAACTTAGAGGTAGAACTATCTCAATGGTGAAGGTAGTATGGGATCAGAAATCCGGAGACTTCACTTGGGAGATGGAGGATCAGATGCGAGAGTTTTATCCATATCTATTTCCAAGTAAGTTCATTTTCGAGGACGAAAATTTTTGTGGAGGGGAGATTGTGACGTATGCCTTATATTATATTAATATTACTGTGCAAGAAAACTTCGTAACGAAGTTTTCCTCATGCACAGTAAATTTTTTTCTTATATATGAATACTGAAGCGGGGGAGGAGGGAAATCAAAAATTTTCCTCTCATCCTTCTTCTTCTATTGTCTAAATTTCAAGCAACGAGACTCTGCTCGTGCAGGATCTGGTGAAACAGGAGAGAACTTGAATTAAGTGGGGAAAGCTTCGGTAGAAATACCATACCAAGTAAGAGGAAGTTTAATTCATTCAATATATGAAATTGAATTGTTGGTACTCTGTAAATAAGGAATAGGAGTAGAGATATGAATGATTGGAATGTATGATTTTGAAGAATGTCTGATTTTGAAGAATGTCTGTTGCAGAATTTCTGTTCACCGTTTAAAAGTTTTAGAAATTCTTGAAATTAAGGATGAATTATATAATAAAAGTGTTGTTTTTAACTTAAATTGAACATGTTTATGGTTTAATTTTGATTTGGAACTAATTTGGGTGATTGAAACCGAGAAATTTGAAAACTTGGATTTCGAAAATGGCGAACTGGAAAACCTGCAAAATTCGCTCAAGCAAAAAATCCATCGCTTGAGCGAAGACACCTGAAAATTTGGGACTCTCGGGATCCATCTCGCTCAAGCGACTAGTGTACTCGCTTGAGCGACGGATGTTTCAAACAAAGGGGACTCCCGGGTCAAGTCTCGCTCAAGCGACTAGTGTACTCGCTTGAGCGACAGATGTTTCAAACAAAGGGGACTCCCGGGTCAAGTCTCGCTCAAGCGACTAGTGTACTCGCTTGAGCGACAGATGTTTCAAACAAAGGGGACTCCCGGGTCAAGTCTCGCTCAAGCGACTGGTTTACTCGCTTGAGCGACGGATGTTTCAAACAAAGGGGACTCCCGGGTCAAGTCTCGCTCAAGCGACTAGTGTACTCGCTTGAGCGACAAAGCCTTCAAACAACGGGGATGCTCGGGTTCCATCTCGCTCAAGCGACCGGTGTACTCGCTTGAGCGAGAGAAGGAAGAAGAAAGGGATATGGTGTGGATTTTTAAAAAGATTAAGGGCAAAATAGTAATTTAATGATTTCGAAAATGATTTCGAAAATAGTTCGGAAATGATTTTTAGGAAAATATATATATAAAGAGAGAGAAAGAATGAAAATAGAGTATTGTGACGTGTGTGGGTCAGACTGAGCCTGAGGGCTGATGCCCAGAATCAGTCCTGAGACGTTATATATTGGCTAGACTGAGCCAGAAGGTTGGTGCCAGAATCAGTCAAATACTATTTTTATTGACTCGAATGAGCTGTGAGGACAGGTGGTCCAGAATCCGGCAAATGTGAATAAATTTTGTATGTTTGAATGGTACCCGGGGTGGTACGAGTACATTAGTGTAATAACTATGTCGGAGGATTCGAATGAGGTCCCAAACTTCAGCGATTGGTCGGGTCGGGTAGACTACGAGATCGAGGTGGTGAGAAGTCGATGGGGGGATGAGCCGGTGGCGCGCTCGGAGGGGTACTCCGGTATGAGTGATGAAGGGCGCCGGTAATCCTACTCTGTGTGGAGGGTGGTCGGAATGGTGCTGTGGGTACCGATCACAATGTGCCCACGAGATGATAGCCTCCGAGTTCGGGCATAGTTAGGGTATACTTCGGAAGGTGTCTTAGTGTGTTGATAATTTCATAATTGATCATAATATGTAATTATTACTTCTATATACGTTTTGTTATATCGAATGATTTAATACTTACCCCTATTTTTCCATGTGGATGGGACTTGCGATGATCACTTTTATGTGGGAGCGAGATCGGGAGTTGAGAGATGGTGATGGGACTGCTTGGACGGCGAGGATAGTTCGGTGGGATAGCTTCGAGGGAGCTACTGTTACATGTATAAGGTATAAATAAATGATGTTAATATATTTTGAAGTTCCGTTAGTGAACTAGAATTTCAATATATGTTACAATTACAGTAATATAATGCAAAATAAATGTTGTTATTTACTTGTTTACTACTTTACGAAGACATCATTATAGTAGCGATTTCTAGGGTCGTTACAATCAAACTGTCCATATAATATGTAATGTCTTTCCTAACTCTTTGATAAATGTGTATTCGTTTTATCAATAATAATAGTTTTTAAGCATAAACACTATTACATTTTATGGGTACTATTCTAATAGATAGATAAAAAGACAAATAAACAAAGTAAAATGAATAACAAATGCTCTTTCCTTCACCGGTTGTACTAAGCATGATATCGTGGATAGACACAATAAACATGATAAGAACATACATATATTACACGCATAAAAAACACAAATTTCTTAAGTTTAATCCTGGATTTCGAAAAAAAAAAATCGAATTTTAGCTATTATTTATTTCACTAATTTAAAATGTACTTTTTAAATATTTTTATCTATAAATAATTTTGTTAAAAAATTATAATAAATAGTGTGATTAGTAATTTCATTAACATTCTTTAATAAAAAATATAATAATAAAATTCATAAATATCTCATATTAATAAAAAATATATTTTTATTATTTATTCTATATGATAAAATTTGTTTTTAGTTTGTTTGGAGGGTGACAGTCATTCAATTTTTGTTTTTAATTCATAAATTTAATTATTTAAATTAAAAGTTTGGATGAGTGACAATCATTTATTGTTATGTGAACTAAAATTTTGATGGGAAAGTCATAAATAATTTATTTTAATAAATTTTATTTTTATTTTCTTATGTTTTTTTATAATTTTTTATTCTAAGTACATCTTAATGATCATAATAAAATATGAGTCTCTCAGCTTTGTTTTAAAATAGTTCTAGCCTTTTAAGAATGATTTTTAATTCATTTTAATCCATTAGTTTTTATTTATTATCATTTTAGTTAGAGTTGTATTGTCAAGTAAACCAATTAGACTCACCAATAATTCAAGGTTATGACTTAAAATTTGAAAAAACAAACTTGGATTCACTAATAAATATCCTATGATAAGTGAAAATTAAAAAAATTAATTCACTAATAAATAATGTATGACAAGATAGGTTACGGTCCACCTCTTCACTTAATATATTAAATATTTAAAATAATAATATTTAATCTTTTAATTTATTAAAAATTCATTATTATCCGTGATATTTGTATCACTCCATCATGAATTAAGTTTGACAGGTTGAACCCTCACTCCATCTCAAATTGGTAAGATAGATTGATAATTTAGTGTATCAGTCTTTTTTATCATTTGTCTAGATTATCAATTCAGAGAGCCTACATAAGATAGAATATGCTAATCCTGACCCATTTTTTAAAAATATTTATAAATAAAAATAAAAAGAATTATAATTAAAATATATTTTTTTTCGTGTTATATGATTGGAAAATAATACTATATTATAGTATTATAATTTAAATTATACAATACTACTCAATTAAGTTTAAATTATTTATTATAATTAAATATTTTAATATATAAATATAGTAATTTTTTAATTTATTTAATAATAATATTAATTAATAAATAAAAAACTTTAAAATATTCATTAAAAGTATATTTTAAAAAAATATATAAAAAAAACATTAACAGATTAATCTCTTGGTCACGCGAACTGATTCCTAGAACCCATCCTAAATATAGAAAGTATATATGTAAAATTATTTACACCTACAACTATTCAAAAAAAAAAAAAATATATATATATATATATATATATATATATATATATATATATATATATTCTAAAATTCTTAGTTTAAAACTTAAAAAAAATATCACATGTTCAAAATATACTATGGAATATTCTTCAATGTATCAGTTTGAGACCCTTCAAAATATTTTTTTTTCAGCTTAATAATTTTATAAAATGGAAAATAATATTATTATCTTTTATAATAAATATAAATATAAAGAGATACAAGAGAAAAACTAAATTCAATGAACTATAAAACTATATAAAAGAAAAGTTCACGGATATGTCAAGGAATGCATCACAGTAGGACTATGTTGACACTACAAGAAAAAAGCAGTTTTAGCGATCGAATTTTTCGATCACAAATGTAAAAAAATCGATTGTTAATCGGTTAGTGACCGAAATTAGCGACCAAAATGCGTCGTTCAAGAGGTCAAGTTGATAATGTGTTAACAAACAATTTTTATTTCGGTCACTTATTTCTTAGATATTAAAATAGCGATCGAAATTAATATATTAAATCTAGTGGCAAAGTTAAAAAAATAGCGACCGATTTATATTGATCGCTAATATATTAATTAAATTATTTAAATAATAATTTAATACACAAATAACGACCAATAATTTCGGTCGTTAAATCGATGATAAAGTTATTATTGTAAATGACAAGATTCAAACCCAGGACCTTAAAATTGGAGGTTGATACTTCAACCACTACGCTACTAAGATTAGTAATAACTTATAAATAATTTATATTTATATACAAATAAATGTATATCCAGTATAAATATATAAATATAAAATCTATAAATACAAATATATTTATATATTTTGATATATTTATATATTTATATTTTGATATATTTATATATTTATATATTGATATGTTTATATGTTTATATATTTATATATTTATATTTTTTATATATTTATATTTTTTATGTATTTATATTTGTTATATATTTATATATTTTTATATTTTTTTATATATTTATATTTTTTATATATTTTTATATTTATATATATTTATATTTTTATATATTTATATATTTATATATTTATTTTTTTTATATATTTATATATTAATATATTTAAAATTTAATTTATAAGATGAAAAAAAATTCTTGATAACTTGAAATAGAGTTGAAAGAAAAGAAAAAGACAAGAACTCTAATATTTTAATAAAGAATTTATAATATAAATATTAAAATATTAAAAATAATATTATATTTTTTCAAAGATAATAAATATTTTAAATTCATTATTTATAAATTTAATTAATTAAAAAATATTAATATTATTCATTCATCATTTAAGAAAAAAATTTAAAATATAAATATTAAATATTAAATATTACAAATAATATTATATTTTTAAAAACAAATTTTAGAAAAAGGTTTAAAAACATATATAAATTATATTTACATGTACAAAATATTAAACATATCCACATTTTAAAAAAAATACTAAAAAATACCAAAAAAATATACTTTAAGTTGATGAATTATATTTAAAAAAAAGTTATATTTATTAAAGTATTAAAAATATTTTGTAATATATAAGTTAAAAATTTTATCATTAAAATTTTTAAAAATTTTTAGTTTTGTATTTTATACACAATGAAAATAAATTACAAATATTATAATATATTGATATATTAGTATAATATAGTATATTTGTATTCTAATTTTTAATTAAACTAAAATTATGTTAATGATGTATAATAATATATGAGGGGATAACAAATTTAATTCAATTACTAATGTATATATCCTTTTTTAACTTTTTTTTCTTTTTAAACTTCTAACATTCTACATTTTTTTTAAACTCTATCATTTCTACTACATTATCATCCTCATCTCCTTCCATATTCTATTTTATCTTTACAATAATTAGTCTTCTTTTATACGATACTTTATTTTCTAGTTTTATTATTTATTTTCTTATAATTTAAAATAATTAATATTATTTTAACATTTATTTTTATGATTTTTACTATAATAAATCAAATAAAATGGTTCAATAATATCAATTAATTAAAATCATCACATCAAAAGCTTAGATAACTACATTAAAATTATTAATTTTAAAAAATAAAATATATTTAAAAAATACTAAAATTATAGATTGGAAAGAAAACAGAATAAACAAATACTCTTTACTTTAGATTATATTTAAGTATGTGCATAAATGTTGACCTTCTTAACTATAAAGAAATAGTAGAAAAATATAAAGATAGAATTTGAAGAAGTGAATTTTGAAGATAAAAACTATTTTTATATAAATTTATTATAGTATATCAATTAACAATAATAATACATAAAATTTAAAATATAAACTAAAAAAAAGTAACTTTAAATTTATGAAAAAATACATTACTAAAAGTATCATATTATATTAAGATTTTCATTAATTATAAATTTAAATGTGTTTCATAAATAAAATTATAAATTTAAATGTATTTCCACTTTTTATCCATCATAAATAAAAATAAATAGTCTCTTATAAACGTTGTTATTTTTTAATCCATCATTAATTTTTTTTATATTATTTGAGACAAGTATTTTTTATATTTTATTTTTACATATTTTTTAATTTCAAATTTATTTTTTATTTTTATTATTTATTTTCTTATAATTTGAAGTAATTAATATTATTTTAACATTTACTTTGATGATTTTTACTATAACAAATCATATAAAATCATTTGATAATATCAATTAATTAGATTATCACATCAAAGATTTAGATGACTATATTAAAATTATTAATTTTAAAAAATATAAAATATATTTTAAAATAAAAATAATGAAATTATAGGTTGAAAAAAAAAAACTAGAATGAACAAATATTTTTCATTTATAATAATATATTTAAGTGTGTGTATCAATCTTGACCTTCATAACTATAAAAAAATAGTTAAGAAATGTGAAGATAGAAATTAGAGAAGTGAATTTTGTAAATAATATTTTTTATAAATTCAAGCGCTAATATCGAAAAGAAAAGACATGAAAGAAGAAAAAATGAATTTGATGACTTATCATATTATTAAAAATTTGGATGAAATAATTATGTATAATAATTTTTTAGTATATTATGTTTTTAAATTTGCTAATAGAGAAAAAGTTTCAGAATTCAAAATGTTAAATATTTTTAAATATTAAAATTGACTTTATAAAAAATTAGGAAAAAAACAATTAATCCAAAAATATAATAATAATAAAATATTATAAAAAAGAGTTCAAAAATGTATTATAATATTTTAGTTTTAGTTTAATTATATTTTTAATTCTCAAAGTAGAAAAATATATTGTAATTATTTTAATTTAATAAAATATAATTTAAATTTTTAATACTAAAATTAAGAGATTAAATAATAATAAATTTAATTCTTTAAATTTAGTATTTATAAACTAAAATTATAGTTTCTCTGTTTTAAAAAATTAAAATAAATATTTAAAAATAAAAATAGAAATAAGTATTATCTTAAATTTATTAAAAGTATAATTAAATCTCTATTTTCTTATCCAATTTTAGAAATTTTTTAATAAAAATCTAATATATAAAAAAGTTGAAATTTTAAAAAGGCAAAACCTTAACTTAGATTAACTATTTTTTTGAAAAAAATTGACAAGAAAAACTGGGCTTTGAAAAAAATAATAATAATTTTGAAGTTATTTCAGTGATGAAGTTTCCAAATGTGATCTATGCATTTATTAAACAAAATTGGAGGTGTGTTGAATATAGATTTAAATATATTTTTAATTTATTTAAATATGATTTATTTTTAGTATTTATAAAATGGATTAGTTTTATATTTTTAACTTTTCTAGTAGTCTATTTTTAATCTTTGTTATTAATGAAAGCAATGAGGGGAGATTGATGGAAATGTCCCTACATTTCCAAGAGATGATTTTGATGATGATTCAAGTCAACTACATTCAAATCAACACCATTCAAGATGAATTAAGGACAAAATGAATTTAAGACATTAGTGACAATGTGAAACATTTCCCTACATGCCCAAGATATGTTTTTGATAAAGATGATGATTCAAGCAAACCCAAGATGATTCTTGAAGACTAGATAGAGTCTTAGAATACTGGATATGGAGGTACAAGTTGATGAAGTAATATTATGCATAAGCCTCCAAAGCACAAATGTGATAAAATTCATAACATGATATTTTTCACTATCATAATCAATTATGATGCATCAGAAATGGAAAAATGATTTTCTCTGTCATAATTGATTATACTGGTAACATAATCAATTATGACAATTCAAATTTGAAAAATATATCTGTTTTGAAGAATAAATGTTTTTGAATATATCCTGATTTTTATTCACGAAAATATTAATGTCCAACAACCATTTTCTGATGCTATTTTTCTATTTAATTAAGTTTTGATGAAAAATAAAAAACACACAATTACAGAATTCGAAAAATACAATTTACATTCAATCAGTTTTGAGAAAAGAATTCTGAGCAAGACAACAGAGATATTTTACACCTTTTGATAAAACCCTCTTCTCTATTGTCTTTTGTGCTTTCATTGTTAATCACACTTGTTCTTAGAGATTGACATTCTACAGGCTTCTACAATTTGTTGTCTTCATTACCCAGGTGTGACTGTTCTTATTTTTATTACCTTCATCCTTTGTGTATTGGTGACAAAGGAGGTGCTTTTCATCCCTAGTATGATTCTAGGGAGGTGTTCATCCTTAGTGAGATTCTAAAGAGGTGTTTTCATCATTTGATTTGTTCAAAGGAAGTTTTCATCCCTAGTGTGATTCTAGGGAGGTGTTCATCCTTAGTGGGATTCTAAGGAGGTGTTTTTTTTTATCCTTTGATTTGTTTAGAGGAGGTGTTTATCCCTAGTGGGATTCTAGGGAGGTGTTCATCCTTAGTGAGTTTCTAAGGAGGTAATTGTCTTTTTAATTAGTTTAC